ACAGAGACGTGATCCGACACAACACCATCATCCCCCAACTCGTGGACGGAGAGTAGGTGCTTCCGGTTCATCCTCAGCTACACCAGCAGGACCTTCACAACAGTCACCGCAACCATTTATGATGCCACAACCCCATATGATGTCGCCATCGCCTTTCCATTATCAGATGTCGTCACCGCCGCCTTCACCTAGTTTTATGACCCCGCCACCGCCACTTTCACAGATGACCCCTCCTGGAGGCTATTATGGGTCTATGTTTGTAGATCCGACTTGGGGTTCATATGCTGGATATTTGGCGAGTTCAGCCTCATCACCCATGGCCGCAACACATACACCTCCTGTACAGTTTTCACACTCAGCGATGTCTGGGTTTTCTCAGTTTTCCCAGTTTTCGCAGGCCGGTGGGATAGTCAGTCATACACCTCCAAGGTCCTTATTCTATGGAGGTGCTTTATCGTAATCAGCTCCTCATCAACCTAATGTACCTGCTCATGACGACGAAGACGACGATGACGACGACGACGACGACGACGATGATGACAGCGAGGAGTCAGAACCAGTGATACGAAGAAATCCTCCTTGAGACCGACAGCCACCGCCCTGCGGAACACATTCGCGACGCAGACATCGATAGATTTTTTTTAATTATATTTGTATTTACTTTATTTTGTTTAATTGTAATTTTTTATTATTTCTCATTTAATACTTACTTTATTTTGTTAAATTTGTTGGACTTTTTTTTAATATATTTCAGTTAATTTTGTTTATTACCATTTAATATCAGTTATTGTAATTTGGTTATCATTTACCATTTAATTCTTATTGTAAGTTTGTTGTATTTAAATACCAAATTGTTATTAGTTTGATAAAATTTAATGATTGTGTTCATTTTTTTAATCTTCATCAGCGATTATCGAATGACATTAACTTGAAGTAAATGCAAATTAAAATACAAGAATTATTATTTGATAAACAAATACATCATTTCCTCATCAATTGTTACTTGATGACAACATAAGTGGACATGTTTTTCTAGTGTGTCCTGGGTTTCTACAATGGCAACATCTTCTGTCTTGTCTATATCTTTCTCGAATATCCATTTCGCAATGAATTCGATTGGATTTTGGACGACCACGCTCCCTCAATAAACTCGGATTTGGTACAATCGGAAGCCAATCTTTAACCTCATACGGGTCTTTGTCATTACCTATGGGGGGAATTTCAAATTCGTATACCTTAAAAACTTCAGATAATAGGTATACGGGATCTACAAAATGGTTATAGTCTTGACGTGTATGCGAGCAAGCTGTTATCACATGAGAGCATGGATACTTCAGAGCTTGAAAAAACCCGCAGTCGCACGTTCTGTCCCTTAGATTTACTCTTAACGACACAACTTCAATCCCTTGAAGAGGTCGCGTCAACTCTGTGACACGAAACATTTCATGCCTTCTAGAGAAGCTTGTTACAGACATTCCATTTGATGCAACAATTTTTTTCTGTAGATCTGCAACTAATCTAGGGTGATAGACATGACTGCCTTGCATCCAGGTTTGAGCTTGTCCCCCGAGCTTCGCAAAAAGCACCCCCAAACAAAAATATGTAATTTTTACCAAAACCACTACAGGTAAGTGACGTGCACCCTTTAAGGTTGAATTGATTGCCTCAGCCAAGTTGGTCGTCATGTGTCTATATCGATATCAACCATCATATGTATTCGTCCACATTTCTTTATCGATGAGGCTGATATAATCGTATCCTTCCTCTTTCTTCGCCCGTAAATCTTGAAGCATTGATTCAAACGTTCGAGGAAGTAGTTCGTAACCTGATCAAAAAATGTATAACTTACTAACTTGTTTTCTTTGCAAAATTAAAATGATCAAAAAATGTATAACTTACTAACTTGCTTTCACTTACCCATGCGCACAATTAATTGACGCTCATCATTCTTCTTGTACCTTCCATGATAGTTTGCAGCAATGTGTCGGAGATAATACCTATGTTGGACAAAATTTGGTTACTACATTGGACCCAAAGACTCCATTACTGCTTTGATTCCAGCTCCACGATCTGAAATGACACAAATGTTTTCCCTCGTGATAACATGTGCACGTAAATTTAGAAGGAAAAAAACCCAAGAATCTGTATCTTCTCCTTCGAGATAATACCTATGTTGGACAAAATTTGGTTACCACATTAGACCCAAAGACTCCATTACTGCTTTGATCCCAGCTCCACGATCTGAAATGACACAAATGTTTTCCCTCGTGATAACATGTGCACGTAAATTTAGAAGGAAAAAAACCCAAGAATCTGTATCTTCTCCTTCGACAAGAGAAAAAGCAACTGGAAGAATGTTGCAATCGCCATCTTGGAGAACTACCAATAAGAAAACTTGCTTGTATTTTCCATACAAGAAAGTCCCGTCGATCTGGACCACAGGCTTGCAGTATTTGACAGCATTAACGCATTGTGTGTAACTTCAAAAAACCCGGTAGAATTGGCTTCGATCGCGAAGAACTCGATCATTATGGTATGCATAGGAGGTTTCGAAGTCCACAATTATCCCAGGATTCAACGTCCGTACCAGCCTAAACCAACCTGGAAGTTCGTTGTAAGATGAATCTCATTCGCTATGAAGTTTGACAATGGCATTTGTTTTGCCAACCAAGCTTTTTTATAGGAGACAGTGTACCCATACTGCGATTGTATAGCTGAAATCAACACTGCAATAGCTCTATGAGAGCTTGCTTTTACCATGGGCATGATGGCTTGGCATATCACTTCAGAGTCCAAGTTGGGATGATCTTGGTTAACCTCTCCAGCACAACATGTGTGAGGACCGTTGTATACTGTTAGTTCCCATATGTTGTTTTTCCTCTTCCTTTTCGATACGCGAACCATCCAATTGCATCCGTTTTCACGTCGGGCACAGTAACATACATATTTTTCGGTCGTGGATCGGTTGACTATGGACTGAACAAAATTACGGATATTGTAATTTTTTATAGCCATCACCGCTTCTTCTTTGCTTGAGAACTCCATGCCTAAAGATAACTCACCATTATTTATTGATGAGTAATATCCATAGTCACCGAGATGAGGCATATCCGCACATTCTGGCCCGTACATTGCACCATAATCAGCTTCATACATGTGTGCAGGAGGGTCAGTTTATGCCATATTTCCTGTAACTTTATCATCATCGGAGTTGAATTGCGGTGATTCTGGGTGAATGAATAGTCCAATCTCAACACCATCCGTACCAGGCTCACGAAGCGGTTCTTCTGGTGGAGATGATGGTTCCTCCATGCTCTCCACATTTAGGTCGAAGAACCTACTACTTGCACGCCTTCCCCTTGAACTAGAAGGCATATCGACATTGAGATCGAAAAAGCTCACTGTCGAATGCCTCCCCTGGAGCTTGAAGCCATCGTGTCAAATGGAAACTGCACAGATGGTTGCGTCGATGGCATCTCCATATGGTCAAAGAAATTTGCAGATGAATGCCTTCCCCTTGAACTGGACACGGTGTTGCCATACGGATTGTTCGTGGACCCACATCGGTACATATCGTAAGGAGTTGCGGATGAATGTCTCCCCATTATGGCATTAAAATCATTACACATTATTTTAGTCGGGCTGTCAACTTGATCAACTTGTTCAGCCAGCCCATAGTGTGAGCTTAAAGATTGACCCCGAACAATACACACTTGAACAAAATATGCATATATCTCAATAGCGGCGCCTGAATAATTACTTTGAGCTTCAACCATCATTTGAACATCATCATTGTTCGAAAGTTCGAACGTTGTATAAGTTAATGGTAACAATGATGTTGGAAATATGTACTGCAATGGCGACATTCTTCTACTACTTTCAACATGAATCTTCCTCGAAATCTTCGTTATCAGCTTCTCAAGAGTTATGTTTCTCTTGAATGATATTTTAACACGTTCATTCGATACGAAAATAATGTCGGTTTCATCTTCTCGAATTTCACCATCATAATAAATAATAGCTAAAAGTCGCGCCATTCTTTGAGTTTAAAAGTGCGGCAATATTATATCTGCAAAAAAAATAACTGAAACAAACATGATTAAATAAATTATATATGAACGAAAATATAACACAATAAATTTTTTACATATCAACGTAAATAATTTAAATAATATAATTTTATATTATTACATACACCGCAAAACTATTTCGACGTATGCTCCCGCTTTTCAATTTTACAAACATAAAAATTAATTGAAAATAATTACTATAATATTTTTTCAAATAATGATAATAAACAATAAGTATAATTAAAAAATTATAACAAAATTACCTTATAACGAAAAAATGCATGAACTTCTAAATTAAATATGAGAAGATTGCTAGAATTATTACTCGTTGACGGAATTGTTGTATTAATTTATAAGTTGAGAGGAGAGATGCGAGGAGATGTGAGAAACTTAACCGGCGGAGGAGGGTATTTATAACCATATAAGGCGCGGTACCTGCACCGCGCTATATGTAATTATTCAGATAAAAGATATAACGCGGACTAGGGACCGCGTTAAATATAATTCACCCCTACGTGGCGTATAGCGCGCCCCCTGATCCGCGCTATACCCCTACGTGGTGTATAGCACGGATCAGGGGGCGCGCTATACACACGTGTAATCCATGTCAGCGTATAGTGCGGTGCAAGGGGCGCGCTATACCCCACGTGGCGCCAAATCAGCATATAGCTCGGTTCAGGGGGCGCTTTACTGCTACGGGTGTTAGATCGGGAAATATAATATGACTGGTGTCAGATCGGTAAATATACCAATCACTGGTGATTTTTCAGGAAATACACCCCATTTTTCAACCAAAATAAAATAAACAAAAAATAAAAAGTATTATTTTATTATGGGGTGAATTTAAAAAAATAGCTTAATTTTATCAATTTTAACATGATTTAACGCAACTTCTATTGTTCTTGTGCCATTAATTATTTCTTTCAATATATGTTCCTTCTTCCAGCATTTAACGCTACTTCTATTGTTCTTGTGCCTAAGATTTCTAATCCTTGTAAAGTTAAAGACTTCAAACCAATTTCCTGCTGCTCAGTTGTGTACAAGGCAATCTCTAAAATTCTGGTCAGTAGATTAACCAATGTTCTTCCTGATTTGGTTACTCTCAACCAAAATGCTTTCATTAAAGGTAAAAGTATCATTGATAATACTTTACTTTCTCAAGAATTGGTTAGAGGTTATGGTAGGAAGTCTATTTCCCCTAGATGCTCATTAAAAGTTGATCTTCACAAAGCCTTTGATACCCTTAATTGGGGCTTTATTTCTTCTGTTCTCAAAGCCATTGGACTGCCTCAAACCTTCATCACTTGGATAGAACTTTGTTTCTCTACTGCTTCGTACTCTGTCTCTTTTAATGAGACATTAGTTGGTTTCTTTAAAGGAGCTAAAAGAATTAGGCAAGGAGACCCTCTTTCTCCTTTATTATTCGTGCTTTCTATTAATGTTCTCTCCAAGCTCTTAAACTTAGCTGCCACTAGAGGAATCTTTGAGTATCACCCTAAATACAAAAAAATGGGACTCACTCATCTCTCATTTGCTGATGACATTCTTATTTTTTGCAAGGGGAACACTGAATATGTTATTGGTGTTAACAGTGTCCTTGATATGTTCTATATATGGTCTGAAGCTCAATGCATCTAAATGTGAGCTATTTGTTGCTGGCATGTCTGCTACGAATCTGGAAGAAATCAATCTGTCTACTGGTTTTAAAAATGGCAGTCTGCCTGTTAGATATTTGGGTTTCCTCTGGTCACTAGGAAATTTTCTGATAAGGACTTCTTTCCCCTCATTGATAAAATTAAAGCTAAACTTCATCAATGGTCTTCTAAATTCCTTAGCTATGCAGAGAGAATGAAACTTATTAAAACTGTTTTATCCAGCCTTTCCAATTTCTGGTGTAGACAAATTTTTCTGCCTCAGTCAACGATTAAAAAATCGAGCAATTATGCTCCAGGTTCTTCTGGAAATGAGCAGATCAAAAAGCTTTTGGAGCTCGTGTGAGCTGGGACAATATTTGTAACCTCAAATCAGAGGGAAGTCTTGGACTAAAAGATTTAAAGACTTGGAACAAAGCTTGTATGCTCCTTCTCATTAAAAAAATCTTTGCAGGTGAGGGTTCTCTTTGGGTAGCATGGATAAAATGCTATATTTTTAAGGACAAAGACTTTTGGAATGTTGACATCAGTTCATCACAAAGTTGGAGCTTAAGGAAACTCCTAAAATTAAGACATGAAGCTCATCCTGTACTGGACGCTGGAATTACGACAATTACAGCAGTTTGGGATGCTATTAGATTAAAGAAAGCTATTGTTCCCTGGCAGAAAATTGTATGGTTTCCTATGCACATTCCTAAGCATAGTTTAATCTCTTGGATGGCTTTTCTTGATAGGCTTCTTACAAGAGAAAGACTCAACCGTATAGGACTAATCACTGACTGCAAATGTATTTTCTATGATGATCATTTGGAAACAAGGGATCATATTTTTCTGCTCTGTCCTATGGCTACATCAATCTGGAAAAATGTTTTTTCCCTCTCGGGACTTCACTTCTACCCTTGTCCGTGGGACACTTTTTGTGCAAGGGCTTCCACTACTTGGAAAGGCAAATCAATGCTCACTCTAATATTGAAGCTATCTTTTAATGCCACAATCTACTTACTGTGGGAAGAAAGAAACAAGCGAATGTTCCAAGGTAGATCCAAGAATGCTCAAGAATTATTCCATGACATCAGAGATATAATTGGACTGCACTTAAGCAATAGGAAATTCAATAGCAATGATAATGTTAATATTACTCTTTCTAGGAATTGGAATATAGGGTGATCTTTGTTTTTGTGTTGTTGATCACTGCTACTTAGCTTTGATTCTTTTGTATCTTGTTGTTGTACATGTTGTTTTGGGGTAATAAAATTTTAATTATCTAAAAAAACATGATTTTATTTCCAAAATTTCAATTTACAATATATGTTGAATCTGTATGTGAGATTTATAAAGTATATGTTTCTAATATATTAAATAATTATGAAAATATTGCAGTTTTCTAAAGCAAGTAGAATAATAATAGCAAATAAAAAATGGCTCCAATTAATTGGAAGGACGGGAACATTTTCTGATTGTATTGTATGGCATGAATGAGCTTATAATATAAATATCTGATGAGATGAGATGAGATGAGATGAGATTGAGAAAACAATTCCAAAACTGGGGTTAAAAAAAATGAGTGGCGCGTTGAGCTGTGTGCCGGACGACTATTATACTGCCGTGTAACCAGACAAATAGCCCCCATGTCTTGGCAATGCCATGCATTCGCCAAAAGCTAATGGTTTCTCCATTCAATGCCGTCCTCAAACTGCAATGAATGGGTCAAAACAGAGATTGAACGTTTGTAAAAGCTTTCAGACTCGGAATATTATATACATACACTAATATGCATATCCGCCTGTATATGAAGATGTCAAGAATAGCACGAATTTAAAATTTTAATATAAAAATCCAAACTCAATTTTAATAACGAAAATCATTACAAATTATCGTTAAAGATACATATGTTAAATTGGTCGTTAACAACTTAATTTTTTGAATGATCAAAAGATGTTAGATAATTACATTTTTGATACTGGTGTGATACGTATATTTTAATTATATATTTAGTAGAAAATAAAGATGAAATTAAAATCAAATATCGAAAAGATTAAATTATTTTATATTAAAAGATTAAAACTCTATTGAATATTTAAATCTAAAGCTTGAAAGAGATAAATAGCAATAACCCCTCACAATTCCTTAAGAGATTCGTCCATAGTAAAAGAAAATAAAATAATAAAAAAGAAAAAATGCGATCAGCAACACATAACATCCATATCGCGAAAAAGTAATCCATGTCAAGTAAGAAAATAGGTCACATCATCCTGTTATATCCAAACAATTAAAATAAAAACAATTTGAAAATTCAGTGATCAATTGATTTTTTTTAAAAAAATTAGTGACCAAAGCAGGGAAAAGATTAAATTTGAATGACAGACAGCCTAGTTTACCCTATAATATATACACGCCAATATAACATGACGGTGCGACTTCAATTTGGTGACGGATGGATAAATTATTGTGGTTTCCGGATTCTGAATATGAAACACGTGTTATTGTCTCTGAAAAGGATAATATCAACTTCAGAGTTATATTATCTTTCATTTTTTTAATAAGGGAAAAAGAAGAAGAAGAAGAAGAAATGTCATGATCAAATTTAAATTTAATTTTATACATACAATAATATCCTACGTTTGGAAAAACATATATATATATATATTGAAAGTGTCCCCATATTTCAACTGGGATAACCTTTCTAACTGTGCATTGTCTACAAGGGTTACATTTGCAGATCCATGCTCCCATGGAAGAAGACACCCAACATGATCAGAGCTTGGGATGTTAAAGCCAAACATGTGCCGGAGCTCCTATACATGACAAAGATTCAGAGAACTTGTTTTCTCATCTCTCCTTGATTACTGACACTGCGCGTTTGCAACGATGGCTTCTTAATGATTTTAATTTAGTTGAATTTCTTTTTTTGAATAAAAAAATGTGTGGTCTGGATTAAGAAAATATTTATCATAAATTTTTTTATTTTAATTTTTTCCCTCGGAATTATGTGTACAAAAACAGCCAAGGACTCGAAAATAAAATCAAACGGTCAATGAATATGGATATTCAAAAGATAAATTAATTCTTATTTTAACACAATCTCAATGATACAAAAATGATCCACAGCTGCTTGAATCTAAATCTTTTAAGTGACACAATATTCCTTTTTATGATTATATTCTGAAAGAAGTTCAATTCATTCTCAACTGGAATAAAATAATAACAACCCTTTCATAAAATTTTGCACATAGAGATTCAACTAATCCAAAATTAAACACTCGGCAAATCAGAGCCCAATCCCTGAATTTCATTCTCGATCACGTCGTATCGTGGTTTGATGAAAAAAAGAGTGAATATACATTGGCAAGACAAACCATGACTGCACAATTGAAAACTCGAATAGACTGTTTCTCATTTTCAAATGTCAACAACAACAAATAAAGAAGGCTTGTGATTCCTTAATTTTCTAACCTTCATAATTCTTCCCACTTCTTATTATTGTTCCCTTTTTAATCTTCTTTACATTTACAGACTGTCGTAACCGGTTTTCGTCCGGGCACGAAATATTATACTTGGCGGGGAAATTGATGTGAATAAATAATTTTGAAAATAATTTGGGAGTCGCCATCGGCCTTTTGGATCAGGTAGGTCGAATACCTAAAAATTATTTTTTTTAAAAGAGTTTTAAGAAAACATTAATTAAAAAAAATAAATATGATCTGCGTTTATAACCAAAAATTCATTCTTTTTAATAATAAAAAGGGATTCGTGGTCGGTTACGTTTAGGGAAGGATTAGCACCCCTACAACGCCCAAAATTGGTACTTTTTAATTATAAATTGTCTCTATTATTAAAATTTTAAAAATTCAAAAAATATATTTAATTTATAATCCTATTATTTCGAAATTATATAAATAATATTTATTTATTTAAAAATATCAGAAAAGAACTTCTAGGTGCCTTAAGACAGCTCTTTCCTTTGATATTGATAAATATTAATTTAAATAATATTGTTTAATTTTAAAATACCAGAATAGGACATCCAGTTGTATTAAGACTGTCCTTTTCTTCGATATTAAAAAAATATTTAAAATTTAATTACTATTTATTATATATATTTATGAACACATAAAAAATATAAACAAATAAAATAAAAATACTACTAAAACAATATATTTTAAAAGCAGTAAAATAAATGAAAACATATAAAATAAATGACTAAATTACAGTAAAAATAAAATTAAAAATCTAATTCATAATTAATAAAAATTATAGGGATTAAACATGCTATTTTTTTATTTTATTTATTTAGTGACTAAAATAAAATTATCTAAAATTCGGATATTAGAATAAAATAAATTAAAAATATAAACTAGGGATTAAAATATTATTTATTAAAATTAAGGGATTAAATCTGTTATTTATCCTAAATATATTATTTTAATATAAAGGACTAAAATAAAAGAAATTAAAATTTAAGATCTGAATTAAAAGTATTATAAAATCGATTTAGTGACTAGAATGTAAAAATTACAAATTAGGAGGACGGCGGACGGGGTTTAACTATTGTATAATTACGCGCATAGTCCTTCCCGAAACGACGTCGTTCGGGAAGGTCTATAAAAGGTCCAAAACCGACTGGCCCGAAGGGCCAGCTTCATTTCTTCATTTTCCTTCTCTCTCTCTTCTATGAGAGAGAGAATTTTCTCTCGCTTCTCTCTAAAACAGAGAGAAGCCAGCCGGTCGGCAGCCGTCAGTCGGCGTTCGTCCGCCGTCAACCACCGCCGCCGGCCACCGTCTTCGGTGGCCGGAAATTTTTTTTTACATCGAAACGTAGATCGGACCGTCCTAATGACGGTTCCGATGATCTTTTCCTTTAAACGGCTCCCAATCGGAGCAAATCTAAAAAAAATACCTTCGGTTTTTCGAAGGTTTTGGTGAGATCCGGCGGTCGGCTTCCTCGGTAAGTTTCTCTCCTCCTTTTTCTTCTATTTTTTTGGTTGCTGGTTGTGGGATGTTGACTGAGATCGTTGGTAGTAGTTTTTTTTTATATTGTTTCTCTGTTTTTTTTTCGGCTCTGTCTCTCTCTTTTCTCTCTGTCTCTGTCTCTTTTATCTCTGTCTCTGTCTCTTTTGTCTCTGTCTCTGTCTCTGTCTCTGTCCCTTTTTTTTGCTCGCAGATGGGGTGATGGCTTTATAGCCATCACCGGTGTTCGTCTCAGACCGGTCCGAAAGGGGTTCTTCGGTGAGTCACCGGACTTCCAGTGGTGACTCACCATTTGGGAAAGACGTGTGCGGCTGGAGTGGCGGTGAGACTGAAGCAGCGCCGCGTGGTCTTCTGGAATCTACGGCGGCGCTGGGACGTGTCCCTAGGGTATTGATACCCTAGGGTTTCCTCTGGCAAACTGTGGACCGTTGGATCAAACCAGATCCAACGGCTGAAGCTTGAGCGGCGGCAGCTGGATGATACAAACCCTAAATTGGGTTTAGGGTTTACTGTAGAATTTTGGATCTGGGCCACTGTTTGTAATTGGGCTTCCATTTGGGCTTGTAATATTAAATAATATATTAATAATAATATAATTATAATTATAATTATAATAATAATTATAATAATAATAATATAAATAAAATAAAAAATGAAAAAAATGAATATCTTCAGCTGCCCCTCTTTGCTTATTCTTAATAAGAATAGAGCAAAGACGAAAAGATGATAAGTTTTTTTCATTTGATTTCACTTGATTAGTATGGAGATTGAATAAATTCTTCTCTCTCTGTCAGGTGAGTTCTTCTCATTATGAACTTTCCACTGGGGATGATGTTGACCTTTTTCTTTTTGTGATAGAATCATTCAAAAGGTTGAATAAGTTCTTCTCTGGAAAGGCTGATGCTAATCTATCTCCTTCTGTGATAGAATTATGCAAAAAGTTGAACAAGTTCTTCTTATTATGAACTTCTTCTTCCTTCTTCAGATGAGTTCTTCTCATTATGAACTTCTCTGGAAAAGCTGCTCCATCAAGTGATAGATTTGAGCAAAAGGTTGAACAAATTCTTCTCATTATGAATTTCTTATTCCTTCTTCAGATGACGAGTTCTTCTCATTATGAACTCTACCTGGCAATGTTGATCCATCAAATGATGAATTCAAACAAAAAGTTGAACAAGTTCTTCTCATTATGAACTTCT